GGGCTCTGTGCTGACAGCTCGAAGCCTGGAGCTGCTTCGGATTCTGTGTCTCCTCTCTCAGATCCTCCCCCAGCTTGTGCTCTGTCTCTCTGTCTCTGTCTCTCAAACATAAATAAAACATTAAAAGAATTAAAAAAAAAAAAAAAGAAGTAGAAGACACAAATTATCCATAAGGGTAATGGGAAGAATACTGCTTCAGATTATGCAGACATGGAAAGATTAATAAGGTGATGCCACAAAAAACACTCTACACATAATTCAACAACTTAAATGGACCAATTCCTCAAAAAACATAACCTATCAAAACTCACTCAAGATGCATTAGATGACCCGAATAGTCCTATAACTGTTTAAAAAAACTGAATTAATGGTTAAAATCTTCCAAAAAAGAAACCTCCAGGCCTAGATGCTTTCACTGGTAAGTTCTATCAAACATTTAAATACATACAGAATACCAGTTACATGCAGTGTCTCCTAGAAAACAGAAGAGGAGGAAATAATTCCCAGCTCACTTTATGACACTAGCATTACCCTGACCCCCAAACAAAAAAAAAAGCACAATGAAAGGAAACTACAGATGCAGAAGTCCTCAGCAACATGCTAGCAGATCCAATCCAGCACCGTAAAAAATAAATATGCCATAAGCAAGTGGGGTTTGTCCTGGGAGTTCAAGGCTGGTTTAATATTAGAAAATCAACCAATGTAGGGGGTGCCTGGGTGGCTCAGTCGGTTGAGCTCTGGACTTTGGCTCAGGTCATGATCTCACAATTCGTAAGTTCAAGCCCCACGTTGGGCCCTGTGCTGACTGCTCAGAACCTGGAGCCTCCTTTGGACTCTATCTCTGTTTCTCTCTTTGCCCCTCCCCTGCTTGTACTTTCTCTCTCTCTCTCTCAAAATAAATAAATCTTAAGAAAAATGGGAAAAAGATAAATGTAGAGGGACATGTGAAGGACCAGTGAGCCAGAACACAGGCACACCGAGAAGACCTAAGGGGATGCAGAGGCATACCATGTTCATGGATCAGAAGCCTTGTCATAATGAGGATGTTAATTCTCACCAAATTGATCTGCAGATTTAGTGCAATCTTGATCAAGATCCCAGAAGGGGCGCCTGGGTGGCTTAGTCGGTTAAGCGTCCGACTTTCGCTTAGGTCATGATCTCGCGGTTCATGGGTTCGAGCCCCGCGTCGGGCTCTGTGCTGACTGCCAGCTCGGAGCCTGGAGCCTGTTTCAGTCTGTGACTCCCTCTCTCTCTGACCCTCCCCTTCTCACGCTGTCTCTCTCTCTGTCTCCTAGAAATAAATAAAACATAAAAATAAATAAATAAATAAAACATTTAAAAAAAATTAAAAAAAAAAAAAAGATCCCAGAAGGACTTTTTGTAGATACAAACAACCTGGTTGTAAAACATGGCAAACAATTAACTCCAATAGCTAAAGCAGCTCTGAACAAGAATGAAACTGGTGGCAGAAGGCTATAGTTCTGAGAGTCACCATCAAGCTACAGAAGTCACAACTGGTGTTGGCAGAGAAACAGATACACAGATCAATGGAGACCAACGTACAACCTCTGTATGGAGTAGCTCAGATAGACAGCACCCCTCACGGGTCCAATACATCCACCAGTCCTAATTTTCCTGCAGATTTGTCAGTGAGTCTCTGGACTCTGGAGAGCAAGTACCAAGTAAGTAAAAGAGGCCATCATTTTCTTTATGCCAAAACAAGACAAAACAAAACAAAAAACCCAAATAAAACCAAAACATTTTTCAAGAGGAAAAATGAACCCCTGACATGAAGCTCTAAATACACACGCACCCATTACACACTGGTTTACCTGATACTGACTTGTCATACAAATTTTGGGACAATAGAGTCCATTTAATTTTGGTCATTGACATTTATAAATCTTAGAGATAAGGGTATGAAAGCTAGTCAAGAATGAAGATAATCCAGGAGAAGGGAAACAGTCTGTTGAATAACCTCAGAGAAATAAGTGATCTAAAATAGCACATAACAACAAACGTTACCATAGACTAAAACCCATCACCCGGATTGCTGGGTCACAAGCGGGGCCAGAGTCCTGCAGACCCACTCAGAGTTAGCTCCCCACATCTGCTGGGGCCAGAGCAGAGCAAGGCAGGTGCTGGGCAAGGCCAACAGCTCTGGGGCCCCAGCTGTTCCCCGGGATACGCGGTACAGGCTGGACGGGGCACGTGGCCAGGCTCGGGTACCCAGCAGTCATACACAACGCTGCTTCAGGCTGCAGCCAAAAGCCTGGGCTGTCTTCACGGGGGACCCTCGTCTTCATCTTCGGAGAATTGCACGTAGGAAGATCATGTGACGGAGGGCATGGGTACCGTGCACCGGTACCGCCCCATTCACCAGGACAAGCGGCCATGGAACGAAGCCTCCTCACCTGCGGGCAGCCTGGGTGTCTTCCTCTGTCAGAGGCAGGGTTGCTAGAAAGCCCCGAGGTACAAGCCTGGACGCCTGCCCCAGTTCACAGTAAGGGGTCTGCTCGAACCCGCTGGGGAGGAAAGCGTGCCGGAAGGAGGTGCAGGAATGCAGGCAGGTAGGCCGTGGGCCAAGGAGGCCGGCGAGGCTGGGGCGGGACCCATGGTGGGCTCCCACTGCGCCCCGTTGCCTCACTCAGTGCCGCCCACCGCTCGGGGCCTCAGGACTCAGGTTGAGCAGGAAGGGTCTGGACGAGCACGTAGGGATGAGGCCCCGGGCAGGAAGGAGGGGTGGCTGCTTGCCTCCCCCGGCTTGAGCGTGCCCTTCAGGGCTGTGTGGGGCCGGCTCTGGTCCAGTCGCGGGGAGAGAGGCACGGGGCAGCCAAGTGCTCACAGACACTCCTCCGGCCCATCAGGTGCCGAGGGCCTTCCTTTTCCTTGCGAAGTTTCCCCGTTTGGAGGCAGGGCCACCTCCTTCCTGACCTTTGACACAGAGTTAGTGGTAAACCCACGGCATCCCATGAGGCACGGAGCACGTGGCAGACGATGGTCTGCTGTTCGTCCGAGGGGAGCACCTCTGCGGGGACAGTGCGGTCACCCCAGCCCCCACGGAAGGGCCAGAGCACGACCGGCCCCACGGCTCTCCATCCCTAGGCCTTCCCTGCCGCGGGTTGTGTGCAGCAGTCAGTGGCATGCGGCAGTGACAGATGGCAGGGATGGGCAAGGAAAGGAGCCGGGGGGGGGAGCCCAGGAGACACTGGTGGCCGTCAGGAGGACAGGCCGCCGTCCAGAGTGACGGCCTGCATATGGATAAACAAGATAATTAATTTTTAAAGGGAAATAAGGGAAGCAGAGCTCGCAGACACTGCCCAGCGCCGGCAGGAGCACCATGTACTGCGTCTCTGCGTCCTCTGCAAGGGACATTTCTGTGTGCAGGCCAATGTGTCACCTGCGGCCGGGAAGCCACTTGTCTGCCGCTGGACCTCACTGTGGCAGGCTGGCGCCTGGCTCTCTTGAAAGTGAGCACCTTGAAAATGAATAGATTCAGTGCATGCCGTGCTCACAGGATGCAAAGGCGAAGCCAGCTGGGTGTCCGCGGCGCGTGAAAGACGCACTGCAGCCAATGGCTCCCGGGTCCTCCGGGCAGGTGTGGCGTTAGTGCGGCCAGCAGGGAGACAGGACAGCAGCATGAAGGCGGAGCCACTTCCCATCCAGACAGCGGAGCCGGAAGCACGAGCTCGGAGCCGTGGATGGCGGGACACCTGGCGGTACCCCCGGGTGCCTTAGCTAGCAGCCACAGCCAGGGCGACCCACGACGGGGACACGGACGGGATGCGAAGGTTTGTCACCTGAGGCACAGCCCTGCCAGGTGCACGGGGTGCCCAGCAGGTCAGGGGGAGGCTGGCACGCACAGGCCCCGGGCACGCGAGAGCAAACACGGTCCTTGCTGCCGTCTGGGAAGCATGGCTCGGCCCAGCCGCCCCTGCTCCTGCCTTCCCCAGAGGCCCCCTCTGTGGGGCAGAGACTCTGGTTGCCCCCCCCCCCGCCCCCGGGCCGCTCACTCCTCATTCCTGGTACGGGGTTCTGGCCAGGGAAGCAGCTGGGACCGCCAGGCTGCAGAGGCGCGGGGAGCACAACAGGGAGCCGGGCACATGCGGGTCGACCCTCCCCCGGGGGCCTCGGTGCGAGGTCTTCTTGGGAACACGGAACACCTACTTGTGACGTCACTGTGAACGTTCGTAGGATTACACCTAAAACCACCAGTTCCACCCATATGCTTGACAGTCTCCTCAACCCTCCCACTCCAAGCACGGGAACTGAGGCCACAGGGCAACGCCACGGGGCAAGGCCCGGCACAGGTTCAGAGCTACGGAGCCGCTGCTCCAGGTAGAGATGTGGACACGCGGGTCCACGACTGCTTTTGCCTGTGACAGATCACTCACGCAGCGCCTCGTTTGAGCATCAGCTGTAGAGAACATGATTTCCTTTCAAATCAAGGTTCCCGTTCCCACCAACCCTCAACTTTTCTGTGGCCCGTATTGGCTTTGGATCTGGTTTGTAGCTACTAGAACCTTCACTGAAATAAGACAGTGAGCGCTGTCCCCTTCTCCACCTGTCAACCTAGAGGGACCATGAGAGCCACCACTGGCTGCAGCCACTGGCGGCAGCCTCCGTTTTCAGGGCTGTGTGATCTGTGCACGGTGGCCTCGCAGGGGCCCAGCCACAGCGCCCTGGGTTCAAGGGATGGAGACGGGGCCCCACCGCGCAGTGCTTTTAACAACCCGCCATAACCAGGCTGTCCTGAGGCTGTCACAACCCACCTTAGAGCGGCCCCAGTGGCCGGAGCCTCAGGCGCTGGGCCCCAGCTCTGCCCTGCACACCGTCCCCAGGGCAGGGGTGCCCGGCAACACTGGCAGGCGCCCCCAGGAAACACCAGCCTGAGCCCATGTGGAGGGGCCCAAGGAGGAGACCCTCGACCTCTGGCCTGCTGGGCGGTCGTGGCCATGGGACACCCGTGTGCCACCAGCTGACACAGAGCAGCAGCCCACCTTCGTCTCCTTCTCATTCCCTTCTGCATGGAGCACGTAGGGGCAGCCCTCCTTCTTTGGGTTTTCCGAGACGATGCGCACCTCCACACCTGGCAGCGGGGTCCCCACGGAGCCTGCAAAGACAGAGAAGGAGGGTTGCACGCCTGGACGTCCTGCACAGGGGACAAGGGGACTCGGCCACTTTGCGGAGGCTCTTGGCACCTGGGTGGAGCCTGGGGCTGCCATGTCCCCTCCAGCACCTAGCTGCGTGGTAAGGGCACGGGTGCCGGTGGGCTGTCCCCAGGGTCACCACAGAGCCCCCAGGAGGGACTGAGCAGCCAGGGGAAGCCTGTCCCCTGCATTCTGGTTCATTTATTAGGTGCCATGGTTTGCTTGGTGTGTGCATCCCACCCGAGGGATGGATGCTCTGAGGCAACGCAGCAAGTCCCCACAGCCACACAGCGAAGGACCGATGTGGCCGAGGTCCCGAGACCCCACACTCCGTGTCTGTGAGGACTCACGTCCCCTGGGGTCAGTGAGGAACGGCCAGGGGACAAGCCCGCAGGAAGCCGACTCTGAAACTCTACGTTCGTGCAGGACTCTGGGACCCTGGCCTCGTTTTGCTGGAAGGGCGCCACGCTCTCCTCGCAGCCCGCCTGTCTTCTGCATCTGAGGTCCTGGGGGGCGAGGCCAGGGAAGTGTCCCTGACGGGCGGGGCGCACCCGGACCAGCTGCCTTCCGGTCCTACGTTTTCTTGTTTCGCTTCCCAAGATTTTAAAAATAAAAGTTAAATCCATACAATCGTCACAAAGCACACAACTGTGGCGTCTGCACATTCATGACGTTGGGCAACCGAAACTGCCATGAGGTTCCAGACCTTTGACCACCGGGGCGCAGAGCAGAGCGGTCGGCAGGCCCCCCCACGCCCACAACCATTACTCTGCTGCCGCCGCGGGCCGGCCTGCTCCGGGCACTTCCGACGAGGATCCTGGGCACAGGGCCGCCTCGCTCCTGCTGGCGGGGCGTCTGTGTGGAGCCCGTGGCCGCACGGGTGACAGGACACTCGAGATGCCACACAGGAAGCGAGGGGGTCTCACCCTGAGTGTGAGATACAGAGACCAGACCCAAGACCGACCCCCCGAGCCCCCTCCTCCTGATGCCTGGCTCCGCATGCCCTTGGGCGCGGTGAAGGCCAGAGGCCGTTCCACACGCAATCCAGATGCGCTTGCCACGTGAGGTCACCTCCTCTAGATTAAATGGCCCCTTTCCCTGTGGATTGTTGGCAGGGACAAGTTTAATTCAGCTGCATCACAGCCTCTCCTTAGGCTTCCTGGCCTCAGAAAGGCCGACGGGCTTGCATCCTGACCACTGGCCCGGGCCACAGCTCTGCCTGCAGGGATGCGACCCGGGCCAGGCTCCGGAGTCCTCAGACCGCCCCCCAGCTGCTGGCCTGTTGGGGCTGGGCCTTGGAGGGCTGACCTCGGTTTAGCCCTTAGTGGCTACGGCGTGTGGTCAGGACCCACGACGAGAACTGTCATTGGCCTGTGGCCCTGTCTAGAGCCTGGGGAGGTGGGTCTCAAGAGAAGGGAGGCCAGCTGATAAGGTCCTGGCCTACCCCCTCACCCCCGCCACTCCCCGGCTGCAGGAGCCATTAGCGCCTTGGATCTCCACCTCCAATTAGAGCGTGATTGGGCCCAGCAGCGCCTGCCATGAACTATTCACCTCCCTTCCTGGTATCGGGAGGGAGGGAAGCAGAGAAGGAACAAGAAGATCCGGCCCAGAGCTTGATGCTGGGCAAACAACCCTCTTCCGAGGCCGGCCTCACCCTGGGTGCCCTCATCAGGTTTTGAGAACCTGGAAAAATGGATCCTGGTTGCTCAGAGGCCACACAAGCAGCAGGGAGGAAGGGCCAGCCCCAAGCGACCCCTGGCTGGGAGCGGGTACGGGGTCCCCAGTGTGACACGAGCCCCAGCCCCGGCATCAAGGTGCACAGACGAGACCTGAAGGTGCCAAGGACGCCCTCTCAACCTGCCTTCTTCACGAACGACACCACTTTACTTTTCCCAAACCAAACAACAGCACCGCACCGAGAGCTGGAGGCCCACGTTGTGGACAAAGGTCACACACAGGTATCTGGGGCAGAGGTAAGAAGAGCGACACGGCCCAGGCCCTCAGGTCCCACACTGTCCCTGAGGCCCGGGGGGCTGCAGCCGTCACTGAAGATTCCAGAATTTCTGCCCAATAAACCTGGGCTTTCAGAACCTTTGGGTTCCCCCTTCCTCAAAGGGGCTGGAAAAGGCCAGGTCGGTGGGGACGTTGCGTGACCTCTGTCCAGGGCGGCTTTCCTCGCTCCCCTGGGCAATCGGCCCCCGCTATCCTCCGTGAGCCCCACGCGGGCCTCCCCCATGTACTCCGTCCCGTCCTGGCTCCTGGTCTTGGCTCTCAGGCCTCGTGTCTGCTCTTATAATTAAGGCCCAGAAGGTTCTCTGTGCACCTCGGTGCCCCTCTCTTTGCCTCCCAACTGGGCCGTGCTGCTGTGCTCCCTGGTGCCCAGAGCCACAGTGTCCTGGTCGGTCAGCGGCCTCGGAGCGGCCTGTGCAGGGAGCTGCTCTGGACACAGTGTGGCATCCTCGTAGGCAGCTGGGTCTCACCTGCCCTCTGGCCCCACGACCCCTCTGGGGACTGACCCATGAGGCGTGTGTCCACACAGAACCTGCACACGATGTGTACGGTGACCCTCCCAGTGACTGTCCCCAGCCAGACACCACCCAGCAGCCTTCGGCCACCGAAGCGACCCGTCAGCACCATGGAATTCTTCTCGGCGGCAGAAAGGAACGTGTGTCCACGCGGATGACACACCCTGCTAAGGGACCGAAAAGGCCACGTTCTGGAGGGTTCACTGTAGGACATTCCAGACAAAGCACAGACAGGGCGCTTGCCTGGCCTGGGGTGGGGGAGGTGCCGAGCACGCACGAGGGGAGGGTCTGAGGCGCAGGACCCTTCCGTATCTCGAAGGTGATGGTGGCTACGTAGTTACATGTTTCCAAACCTCCAAGCTGAACGCGGGCAGAGGGTAAGTTTTATATACGTGCAAGACCAATGGATGTGACACAGAGCTGTTCTGCTCTTATTTCTAAGTGGGATCTTGCTTGTGTTGTGGACACCCTGGGAGGGCGTCTCGGGAAGCCGGGAGGGGGCCGGACACCCTGGGGGAAGGCATCTCGGGAGGCTGAGAACAGAACGGGGCACATTCACTTTCCAGGCTTAGGCTCTGCTGGCAGGCTCCCTGCTAAGGACCCGGGATGTGAACGTCTGAGTTCAAGTTGGAGAGGGGTGCCTGAGAAAAGGCTGGATTTAGGAAAGGTCGTCCAGACAGTCAGAGGGCTCCCTCACACCTGCCCTTACACCACGCGGTGTCTGGATGGGAGGCTCTGGGCAGCGGCCAGCTTGGTCTGCTCAGAGCAGTGCCCTGGAGCACATGGGTCCCAGTCATTCCTATTCTTCCCACGTGTCACCTGGGAAGGACATGGGTGTAAAGAACACTCTTCTGTCCTGCCCCTGACTGGCCATTTGGGAGAAACAGGAGCCTCAGCCGCCTGGCCGGGATCCCAGGAAAGCTCTGTGGCCCAGCAGGCAGTATGCTTCCCAGACTGCCTCCCCCCACCGCCCCAGGGCTCAGGGCACAGGGAGAGGACAAGGCCGGGGGGTACCTGGCACTCGAGTCCTGGTCAGGGGGTTGGACAGGGCCATGCCGATCTCTGTCATCCCATAGCGCTCCAGCAGAGTGTGGCCGGTGGCCCTCTGCCACTTCTCCAGCACAGGCACAGGCAGGGCAGCCGATCCCGAAACCATCAGCCTGCAGGCACAGCAGGGGCAGCCTCAGGGACCAGCGGGGGCGCACACAGCCCTGGGGGGGGGTGGGAGGAAGCCTCAGGGACCGGCGGGGGCGCACACAGCCCTGGGGGGGGGGAGGAAGCCTCAGGGACCGGTGGGGGCGCACACAGCCCTGGGGGGTGGGGGGACAGGGGGGTGGCCTCAGGGACCAGCAGGGGCGTGCACAGCTGTTCATTCAACACCGCTGCCCTACAGCTCAAGATGCAGGGGCGCCGGGGGGCTCAGTAGGTTAAACGTCGGACTCCGGCTCAGGTCATGATCTCACAGTTTGTGAGTTTGAGCCCCGCGTCGGGCTCTGTGCTGAGAGCTCAGAGCCTGGAGCTGCTTCGGATGCTGTGTCTTCCTCTCTCTCTACTCTTTCCCTACTCACGCTCTGTCTCTCTCTCTCTCTCAAAAATAAACATTAAAAAAAAAATGGTAGTTGGCGGTTAAATTTTAAGTCTGTCATTTGAAATGAATTTGTTGGGTGTATCTTAGAATGTAAACAAGTCTTTCAAAGCAATGGGTAATTGAGGTAAAAAAAAAATAATCCTAGGGTCTTTTTTAAAAAAAATTTTTTAATGTTTTTTATTTATTTCTGATAGAGAGAGACAGCACGAGCAGGGGAGGGTCAGGAGAGAGAGAGAGAGAAAGAATCTGAAACAGGCTCCAGGCTCTGAGCGGTCAGCACAGAGCCCGACGTGGGGCTCAAACCCACGAACTGTGAGATCATCACCTGAGCCGAAATCGGACGCCTAACGGACTGAGCCCCCCAGGCGCCCCATCCTAGGGTCTTTGAAGGCACTCTTTGTGAGAACCCGCTATTTATAAGCCAGCCCAAGCTCGGAGCAGTAGTGAGACTCTGGGCTGGGGGAAACCGCTCACAGGGCAGGGGCCCGAGGGTGGCCAGAGCACAGCCCACGGGGCGAGGGCTGCTGCAGCCCATGACTCAGGGAGGGGCCCCCCCACCCTCATGCAGCCCCTGGGACTCCTGCCCCCCTCTCACTCCAGCTGCTCATTTCTGGTTGGAGCTGCAGGGGTGCCCCCGCCCCTGCCCACGGCATTTTCTCAGCAGGACCCTCCCCACCACAAGCATAATCCCGTGAGGCCTCAGGGCCTCTGCCTCTCAGAAATTACCCTGATTTCCTCTCTCTGATGCCACCCTTGCCCTTGGCTCTTTAGCTCTGGGGAATGTGCGCCACTAACACTGCTCTCGTCCTGGGGGCCAGATGCCTGCTGAGGGGGACGGGGAGGCTGGCATCGATGGGGGAGGGGCCAGAATCACGACAATGTCAGAAACTGGCTTGGAAAATCCAAATTCTCTCCAGGAAGCAGAGGGGACGACCCTCCTGGGCTCTTCCTAAGAATTGGGAGCCACGTGCTTGGAGCAGCGTGGATGCCACAGAGACACACACACACACACATTTCAAGGTCACGCTTGCGTAGCAGCTCGCTCAGTGTTCTGCTGAACGGCTGTGCCAGCCTCACAGAGCTGGGCGACACGCGTCCTGTGAAAAGTCACCACCTTCTCAGGGACTCCCACTGCGGTGACAGGGACAAGCAGGCAGAAGCGCGCCGTGCCTGCAGGCGCAGGAGACGGGGCCACGGAAGGGCTGGAAGAGCCCACGCATCTGTCAGGAAAGGTGTTTCTCAGGGACCCGGGCGGGCAGGGGTGGGGGTGCTCCGGGGGGCGGGCCTCAAGGGCCAGAGACCACGGCGGAGAGAGATGACGGGGGCTGTGGGGAGCCGTGCAGACGAGGGGTCAGAATGGATGGGGGAAGCCCTTGTCCTTCAGACTGGACCACCAGACAGACCGATGCGGATGGGCAGACGCGTGGACAGACAGAATACGGACGGGCACCGTGCGGACTTTTCGGGAAAGGGAAAATGCTGCTTCCTAGAACCTAGATCCGTTTTACTTCCTAAAACCTAGACACAAGTTATATCTTTGATCTTTGAGACCTTCTGGATAGGAGGGTGGACCGTTTTCATTTACCTGACTTTCTCCTCACAAACTGCACGTACAAATTCCTGGACGTGAGGCTGAACAAAGTGTTTGTTGTAATAATCCAACAACTTGGCATATATTGTAGGCACTGCCATGAACACGTTAACCCGGGGAGTTTCAGAACTTAAGAGCTTTTCCCAAACCTGAAAAGGAAAAAGGAGGGTTACAGCAAAACATTAGAAAACACACACGTGCTCAGACCTGCTTCCAGAACAGACTGCTTAACGGAGGCTGTGCCCTTCCTCCGGCTCTAAGGGGCCCGAAGCGGCTCCCACCCCTTCCGTGGGGGTCACGGCCTCTGGCAGCTACGGGGATCGGCTGTGCCAGAGGCACTGGTGTCTGGCTGCAGGGTGACCGGTGAGGAGGGGTGGCAACAGTCATGAGAACAGGGGATGCGGCTCCAGCATCCGATCCACTGTCAGGAGAGACAGGGCCCCTCGTGCCCCCAAGCGGCACCGGTGACCTCGGGTCAGCACCGGGCCTGGCGCCGGCAGACTCACGGGGATGGTGGACGCGTGGCCATCCTGGCTCATCGGAAAGTTGTGTGAATTTTGTTCACTCGGTAACTGAGGCTTCTTGCTTTCGTACAAAAACGCTCCCAGTGTTAACGAGTCCCAGAGGAAGCTGGGGCAGCACCCTCACTCTGTGGCTCTCTTCCCCGCAGCCCTGTGTGGAAGCCCTGGTCGTGGGGGGGCGGGGCGCCGGAGCTCACAGCCCTGGGCCCTCGGCGCCCCGGACACACGCAGACCTCCACCGGTGGCATTCGGGGGGCCGCCCCTCACGCCTGTCCCCTGACTGGGCTCGCAGGGTAAACAGCTCCGTTGTTTTGCAGACAATGACGCACCCCCGTATTACACAGCACGTAAGGAAACAGGAAAATGTGACCCACCATCAGGGAAAACCACCACAGGAGCAGACCCTCCGACGACCCAGAGGTTGGAATCAGCAGACCAGGAACCAAAGGTGATGGCAACAGGCTACGGAATTTTGAAGACAAAGTGAACAAAACGCGAGAAAAGCCAAGGGTTTCATCGGGAACGTGGGAATACAGAAAGAGCCATCACAAAGCCAGGAGGCCACACTGTGCAAAGTCGCAAGCTCGCTGGACGGACCCGGACACGGGCGGGACGGCGTAGGGCGGCGCAGGGCAAAGGCCCATGCTGAGTGGCGGCAGGGCAGGAGGCGGGCAGTGTGGGCGAGGCACGGGCCACGAGGGCATGGCACCCGCAGCCTCGGCAGCGACGGCACGGCGACCCTTCCCCGCCTGGGCTGCAGCGTCACCGTGTCCCCCAGGGCCCTGGCTGCACTCACGCAGATGGTAAAGGACCCAGAAGAGCCGAACCGGGTGTGGAAGGGAGAACAAACGTGGGCGGCTCACACCCCCAACTCCCCGGTTTGCTCTAAAGCAACAGCGGCCAGCGCCACACGCTGCTGGGGCGGCCACACCCCACACCCCACACCGAGGGGCGGCCAGAGCCCAGAAGTGGACCAGCACGTGCACGGGCAACTGTGCTTTGACAAAGGAGCCCTCCCTTCAGTCACCTTTTCACCAGACAGTGCGAGGACCACCGAACACACACCTGGAAAGGGTGAACTGGAGACCCTGGCTGCACACAAAAATGAACCCGGAGGGAATCAGAGGTCTACATGCATGAGCTCAAACCACAAAACTTCTGGAACAAAATCATGATCTTGCTTGGGCAAAGATTTCTCAGATATCACACCACAAGCACGATCTATGAAATTAACCGATACGATGGATTTCATCAAAATACATTTCAGAAAATAACATTAAGAAAATGAGAAGACAGGGGCGCCTGGGTGGCTTAGTCGGTTAAGCGTCCGACTTTCGCTTGGGTCATGATCTCGCGGTTCGTGGGTTCGAGCCCCGCGTCGGGCTCTGTGCTGACTGCCAGCTCAGAGCCTGGAGCCTGTTTCGGAGTCTGTGACTCCCTCTCTCTCTGACCCTCCCCTGCTCACGCTGTCTCTCTCTCTCTCTCCTAGAAATAAATAAAAATTAAAAAAAAAAAAGAAAATGAGAAGACAAGCCAAACTGGGAAACACTATTTGCAAACCATCGACCTGATAAAAACCCTTATATCCAGAATATATAAAGAACGCTTACAACCCAATGAGATAAATAAACCAATTTAAAGTTGGGCAAAAAATCCAAACCGACAATTCATGAAGATACAGGAATGCAAATAAGACCATGAAAAATTGCTCAACACAACCAGTCACTGAGGGATGGCAAATCGAAGCCACAGTGTGACCCCGTTCACATCTGCTACAGTGACTAAATGTTAACTTAGAACAGTGAGCGCGGGCGAGGCTGTGGAGAAGCCGAGGTCCTCGCACACGTGGGTGAGGACGTAAACAAGAACCAATCTGGAAAATGGGTTGGCGGCTCCTGAAAACACAGAACAGAACCTCTGGCGATTCTGCAAGGTAACGAAGACGTGTCCACGCAAGGGCTTGTGCGCCAGCGTCCGCAGCAGCCTTATTCTCTCCGGACAGAACTGGAAGTCACCGCATGCCCGTCAGAGGGCTCGGGGGCGAGTGGGCTGCGGCGGGTGAGGCTGAGAGATGTCCTGCAGAGAGAGAGAAGCCAGGCAGCACCCTGCAGGCCGCAGGGCTCCTTGCACACGTGGTGCAGGGAAGGGGAAGGTGCGGGCACAGGCAGACGGCGGGCACAGCTGGGAGCAGGGATCGAGACAAAGTCACAAAGTGACTTTCGTGAACTTCACGTCGACAGAGCTGCAGAGAAGACGCGATACAGACACTTGAGGGGAACAAGCTGAGAGACTCACGAGCTGGGAGGGGCACGTGGGGGGTGCCCCGGAAGCAAAGGCCTGGTCATCCCTGCACAGGCTACAAGTCCCGACCGCTCGAAGCAACCGCGGTAACGACACATGGTGAAGATGAAGGAAGGAAGGAATACAGAGCAGAGGCCAAAGGAGCAGAGAGCACAGGTGTGTCACAAAGAAAATTCCTGAAACTGTGACCCCGACACGTGAGCAGTCAGGCGAGCAGTATGAACACACAGACCGCCAGCCCCAGAGTTAGAGGAGACGCCACCGCAGGCCCAGCCACCCGAGAGGGCGAGGGGAGAAGTCGCGGGCTGCTTTGTGCCGGCGTATTTCACAGCTTTAATGGCAGACAATTTCTCTTAGAAAGAAAAACTGGGCTGCCTGGGGGGCTCAGCTGGCTGAGTGCCTGAACTTTTTTTTTTAATGTTTATTTTTGATTGAGACAGACAGACGTGAGCAGGGGAGGGGCAGACAGAGAGAGAGATGCAGAATCCGAAGCAGCTCCAGTTCTCTGAGCTGTCAGCACAGAGCCCAACGTGGGGCTTGAACTCACCAACTGTGAGATCACGACCTGAGCTGAAGTCGGACGCTTACCCAACTGAGCCCCTCAGGCACCCCAAGTGCCTGACTCTTAATTTTGGCTCAGGTCATGATCCCAGGTCGTGGGATGGAGCCCCACGTCAGGCTGTGTGCTGAGCGTGGAGGCTGCTTGGAATTCTCTCTCTCAAAAAAAAAAATAAATAAATAAGTTAAATAAATAAATAAATAAATAAATACTTACCAAAACTGACACAAGAAACCAAACAGGAACTACAAGAAGTCTTAAATCTGTTAACGAAATGGAACTCTTAGTTAAAACCCTTCCAGGAGACGCCTGGCCTGGGTGGCTTCCACGGTGAGCTTGAGCGAACCCAGCCTCACACTGCCCTGCCCCGGGGGCAGGGGGGAGCCCTTCCCAAGGGGAGCATGGCCCCGACACACAGGCCCAGCAGGGACGCGACGCCCCCAGAGAGCCACAGACCTGCCTTCCTCATAAACACAGATGCAAAAGCCTTAACAGACTATCAGCAGATCAGACTAGCGACAGGAAAGGACAGCGCATCCCGACCGCAGGAAGTGGGCCGCAGGCCAGCAGGTCAGGAGGCAGGTCGGAGCAGCCCGTGAAAACATGCGATCAGCGTAGTAACCGCTCAGCAGACTGAAGAGGGACAGAGACGCCAGGTAACAAAGGGGGGAAGGCGCTGTGTGGTCACCACGACAGACACGGCCCCCTGCGTTTCCCTCGAAGATGAGCAATGTCAGCGACAAGGCCGAGGTCGGTGCTCGTCAGGCTGATGAACAGCACCTACAACCCAGCAGCCGGCATCACACGTAGCCGTGAGCCGCGGACGCTGTCCTCGAGCGCGCGGGTCCGCCAAGGATTCCACACCATCGCACGTCCCAGCCGGAGCCACAGAAGGAAACCTTGGCGTCGCAAGGCACTGGTGGAAAAGCCGGTGCTCTGTGAGCCAGCACGCGGGGGAAGCGCCCGCCGCGCGCGGCCCTGACGGACTCCGCCCGTGTTACAGAAAGAACGCCTTACAGATCAAGAATAAACAGACGCCTCGTGAAGATTCTGAATGGCCAAGGATCGTACGAAACAGCGCTCAAGGGAAATGCAAATTCTGTAACAAAACCAAGGTGGCGCCGCACACACGGAAGGCGGCTGACACGCAAACCCGAGACAGCTGTGCTTTGCCGCCCTCGTCACCGCCGACAGAAGCAGGGAGCAGAGCCGCGGCTCGGCAGCTTCTCCAGCCGGACACACGCGGCCCAGGAGCCAGGAGCGCCCCCCGGGGGTGCAGGGATCTCCAGGACGCCCGCGCGGCAGCTGCACTCCTGCAGCCAAAATGGACACCGCCCAAACGTCCACCGACAGGGGAGGGACGACAGCCGAGGAGGGATTAACCGCCGTCGCGGGAGCAGGGACACATCTCAAGAACACGGTGGTGACAGCAGAGAGACATGGGGCACACAGTCACCGCGCCTCCGTCACACATGAGGTCTGGGAGGCCGACTGCCTTAGAGACAGTGGGGGGAGGGGGCTGCGTCCAGTGGGGGGGAACCGTGGGGGGGGGTCCTAGAACAGCGGGGGGGCCAAAACTGAGGGGGTGGGAACGGGGGGGGGAGAACAGCGGGGGAGGCCGGAACTGTGGGGGGGGCGGGACAAAGGGGGGGGTCCTAGAACAGCAGGGGGGCCGGAACTGTGGGGGGGCGGGAACGGGGGGGGGAGAACAGCGGGGGGCGGAACAGAGCGGGGGTGGGAACAGTGGGGGGCTTGGAACAGTGGGGTCCATAGGGGCACAGCGGGCCTCGCAGGGTGGGGACAGCGTACAGGACGATTACAGCCCCTCCGGCGGGCCTCACACACGCACACTCACAACGCGGTGAAGCACACTCAGGTCTGGACATCGCATGGCACGCGCAATACACCTCAACAGGAAGGAGCGAAAACCCACCCACTGACACGGTGGGAAGTCACACGACCGACGATGGCGACTGTGCGTGAGAACACGGAGCCACCCTCACGCCTCCACAGCCTCACGCAAATCACACGTGCGTCCAGTGGGCGTCCGGCCCTGACAGCTCACAGCCTAGACAGACGTCACAGAAAAACCCTTATGAGCGTGTCCTCAGCAGCCTCATTCACGATGTCCTTGCACTGGAAACCATGTCCTTCGACGGCGGCACGGGTGAGCCGTGGGACCGCACAGCGGGCACGGGCGAGCCGTGGGACCCACAGGGTAGCGCAAAGCCGCATGTTGGCACAGCGCCACGTGCTGAGCCGTCAAGTCCACTCCAGCGTCAGGCTGCCGTCCCGTCCAGGTGGGGAGAGCAGGGCGGAGAGGCAGGAAGCGAAGGGCCCTGGGTCAGAGCCCCGCCAGGAAGAGGCATGTGCAGTGGGACCACGGCTCGGCTCAGCCTGCCTGCAGGGCCTCAGCTGGCTGCCCCAGGGGGCGTCTGACACTGCAGAGTCCCTGTTCCCCTGCCACCGGGGCCTGCACCACCGGGACCTGCCGCCACTGGCGCCCGCCGCTCAGGACAGAACGCGAGTGGTGAAGGCGAGTGGGGGAGGCTCAGGAGCAGACCAAAGGCTGGAGCCCTCCAGGGGTCCCTGGGACACGCCCGCAGGGAGCACGGAGGACGAGGACCTCCACTGTGGTTGTCCCGTCGACAACCACTCACTCCTCTAAACTCCCATACGACCGGCTCGCTGGGTCACACACGGCTTTGCTACACAGCGAGTTCTTTCCGGACTTCCACTCCTGTGTAAACGAGTGTAAACGAGTCCCCTTCCTCTTCCCGTCCTTCTGGGAGAAGCGTCCATGCTGGCCGCAGTGCCCCCACCGTGTGCCGCGCGCTCCCACACGTTCCCGGGGCAGGGCTCACACTGCTCCTCTTCCTCAGACGATGAGACTGAGGGTCAGAGAGGTGGAGGCGGCCTCGGCCGCGCTGCTCCACACAGCTGAGCTGGCGCTAGACCGGCTGCCGAGAGCCCTGTTCTCTCCACTCCCTACGCCACTCCCTACGCCACTCTCCCTGGCTTAAGGCTCCAGGCTGAGGACAGGACAGGGAGTAAGGGCCTCGATCCCTGCCTTGTTCTGGGAGGCAGGAAGGTGGACGGTGGTGAAACCCGCATGCTGAAGACCAGGGACCCTTCTGTGGGGGAACTTACACGAGACTAACGCACGAGCTCTGAGCTGCTGGGCAGAGGGCCCGGAAGCTTTTCCAGACAGACCCTCCAGCGGGCCAGAGAGCCTTCCGGCACAGCTGCAGCGCTAGGTGAGCGGCAGCCTGGAGACACGCGCCCCTGCAGGCCACCAAGCCACAGGACCCGTGCACACTGGAGCCAGGCCTTGGCCCAGGGGGCCCCTGCGTGCTCTGACTATTACAGTGAGATGTACACGTGAGGGTTTTTCCACATTCTCTTCAACCTTCTACCTGCGAATGAAAGCTGTGCTCATCACCTCAGTTAAGGAGCAAATCGGCGGTGAGCCCGGGTCTCATTCAAAGCTCTCTGCTTCGCAGCGTCCCTGCTGAGGGCACAGTCACCCTGACTCACACCCGGCAGCCATCCACCGGGGGCGGAGACAGATGGGAGGCCGAGGCTCCCAGAGTGTCAAGCAGCAGGTCAGCGTCTCACCCGGGTCTGTCTCCCCCAAAGACGCACCTGCACCCCTGCCCTGCTGGCCCGGCGGCTCCGGAACGAAGGAGAGCGAGTATGGTTGGCTGAGCAGTGGACCCAAACATCCAATTCCTAATCAACGTGGATATGTCGCCTCACATGGCAAAGGGACCCGGTACATGCGGTTAAAGCTTCTGAGAAGGGAGGGTGCCCTGGACATGCAGGTGGCCCGATGTGATCACCGCGTCCACACGAAGCAGGCAGAGCCGGGGGTGAGGTGGCCATCAAGCAAGGGCACGGTGCCGCCCGATGCTGGAAGAAGCAAGGGCCAGCCTGTGCCCGAGCCTGCAGACGTGAGCCACCCTGCCCACACCCTGACTTTCACCTAGAAGACTCCTCTTGGACTTCTGGCTTCGGAACTGTGAGTGAGTCAGGGTGTGCTATAGGCTCCCCCGGTTTGTAGTTGTGTGTTAGGGCAGCGAAAGAAAACTCACGCAGCTACCATAGCCTACGCTGCAGAGGAAGGCGCCTGGGCCGTGGACACCCAGCCCCAGCCACGCCCGGAGCCCGGCCCCGACTCACCAGCTCCGCGCTGAACTCAGGCAGCATCACACAGGTGGCCCCCACCCAGAGGGGACAGAGCAGCTTGTTGACCACGCCATGCATGTGGTGCAGGGGGAGGACGTGGAGGATCACATCGTCCTTAGTCCACGCCCACTTGTGGACCAGCCCCGTCACCTGTGGGACAAAGGTGCAGCCTCAGGTGGGAGGGAAGCCACCAGGCTGGTGAGGGCAACCCCGGCTGGGGAGGGAAGGAGAGAGGAGGGTACGGGAGGGGAGGCTCAGGCTCTGGCACCCGGTGCCCAGCCCTTCGCGGCTTCTGAAGCTAATAGTGGCCACGTGACCGTGGGTCTGATGGTTCACATGATGACCCCCATCTCTAAGAACAGAGCTGGACGTGGCCAGGGCTTTCACGTGGGGGTCCCCAGTCCCCGCCTCCCCCTGCCCCCCAGCAGTCAGGGGTGTAGCTCTGGCTCCAACCAGCCCCGGGACTCCAGGCCTCGGCAGAGCCCAGCCCCCACTGCCTGGTTCAGCACGTCCCGCAGCCCAGCCAAACTGTTGTGGAGCCCGGAGCTGGGTTTTCCGCCACATCCTTGGCTTCTGTTGAGAAGCAGCGTGAAACGCCCCCCTTCGACTGTTCTGAGAATCACCACTGGGGACGTCGTCCCGCCTGCCTTGGTGACTGCCAGGGGCGAACCCAAGGGATATGCTCACCCCTTTCCCAGCACTAGGCAAGGGATGGCGTCCTCCAGACACAAAGTATGTCTTGGGGAGAGACAGAAAACCTATCGGTCACACCTTGCCTGCAGTCAGCCCAGCTCATTCACCCTGACACCCTGACGTGCAGGAGTGGTTTAGCCTGAGACTTAGCCACTTCATCTCCGTGGCTCTGAGCATCACCTCCATCTCACTGCCCCCAGTGTGTAAGAGTCTATCACATACACCAGCAGGTTTGGAAGGAAGAAGGACAGATGTTAAAGGTAAATAAAGTGGTTGGTAGGCTTGGCAGAGATGCCGAGGCCACAGCCCACGAAAGTAACAGCCAAGATGTGGGGACCCGTGACTTCCTGTTCTCACCCTGATAAGCCCCATTTCAGTGCAGATCACATGTCTTGAACATTTGCTTCACAGCTGCTCCTCCTGAAACCCCTCGATATCACGTGTGGGGGCCCATTCTGTCTTCCACCTGCTGTGCGGCCCATGGAGCCCCTCCGTGGCCTTCTACAGCCGAGGGAGCCCCCCGCCCTTTCCCGGAGCCACCCCCACGGGTTGGGGGGCTGGTGGTCACATCCACTGCCGGAAGGGCTGGTGGGAGGGAGGCAGCCGGGGGAGGCCTCCACAGAAAAGGGAAGGAAAGCGGGACTGAGCCCAGGGGCCCATGCAGCTGGCTGGGAGCACTCACCATGGCCCTGATGTTGTGATGAGTGCTCAGGACGCCCTTGGGCCTCCCTGTGGTCCCGCTGGTGTAGATGATCATGGCGCCCCGGTCTCTCCAGTTCCGCTCTGGCACCCTCCACTCCCCAGGCTCCTCTGCTGCCGCTCGGTAGACTGTGGGCGGGAGGGACAGCAGCGGGACCCCCAGCCTCCGGACCATGGGGCCCAGCAGCTCCACGTACTCGTGGCCGGCAAGGACCACAGCACTCCGGGAGTCCCGGATGAAATACTCCAGCTCGGCCTGGGGGTGCTTCCTGTACAGAGGGACAGCCACGCCCCCGCTCATCCAGGAGGCCCACTGCGCCACCACGTAGGACACGTCGTTGGAGCACATGAAGGAGACCCTGTCCTCCTGGAGGTCCCCGCCGGGCCGCCCAAGGAGCCGGCACACGTCCTGGGACAGGCGGAGGCTGTGGTAGTAAAGGTCCTTGTACGTGTGGCGGCCATGCTGGTCAACGAGGGCAATCCTGTCCCCGAAGGCCAGGGCCCGGGCGAACACGGGGGCGCTCCTGTCGGAACAGGCCGCTGGCGCCGTGTGCAGGGGGCTCCCTCCTCTGCGTGTCCAGGGAGCCGGCCGCTGGGAGGCCAGGGCGCAGAGCAGGCGCCGGAGGGACATGGCGGGCTGGGGCGGCATCACACCCACTAACATCAGCGGAGTTACCTGCAGAGGGGCCGGAAGAGGGGGAACCACAGGTTAGCGCCGCCAGACCAGGCCTCACCCGCCATAGCCGGGGAAGGGCCCAGCCAGATGGCGCCGGCCGCCTCGGGGCACCAGGTAAAACCAGGTAACACCCCAAGACAGGCGTGCTACCGGCCACAGAGCACCTTCAGACCCACCTTCAGTCTCGCAGTCCAGCTTCATATTTGCTCTCATTAAAGGACCTCAAAACATAGTTTCTAAAACAACCCCCCAATCTAAGCCCTCCCACCCCAGCCTCAGCCCACCTACCCCCCCCCACCTCGGCCCTCCCACCCCAACCTCGGCCCTCCCACCCCAGCCAAGCCCACCAGGGCCCACAGCCAGTCAGCAGGCATGAGCCCGACCAATGAGCGTCCACCTGCCAGTCCCCTGGAGGGTGGGGTGGGGGAGGACAGGCACAGGGACCCCTGAGGGCACCTCTGGGTGCTGCAGGCTGAAGGACGCCTGCCATCCAACACTATACGGAAGCTGTAGATCTGGCCCCCTTCCCAATGGGCCAGTAAAACGGAGAAGCTCAGGAATGATCCGGGCAGGAGGGGCCCAGGCGCCCCCAATGCCTCCCTTCTGCTCTGTCTCTCACCCTCTCCCCCCACCCCGATGCTCATTAAGTTCTCTCCCTGACAAACCCTCCCTTCGCTCTCTTTCATTAACTTGCTACAGGGGAAGACTAATGTGTTATTGTTTGTTACACGAAGGAAACAGTTTTATTCTCTGTTCTTAATTTAAAAACAAATTATACACAACACTTTATAATTACCCAACAAAACAAACAGGCCGCAGGGGGGTGTGAACTGTGCTGTGTACTGGAGCCCCGGTCTCTCCTGCAGCCTGGGGGCTCCGCAGACAGACTCTGGGCAGCCCAGCAGGGGGCCGCCTCCAGCACCCTGTGCGCCCCCCTGCGCTGCAGGCCTTTCAGGACCCTCTCAGCCTCCCCCCTGCTTGCGCCCAAACCCTGGGCAAATCCGCCTTAATGCTCCGCAGCCTCCACCAAATGGTCAGTTATCAAATGCATGGGACCCACACTATTTCCAGATGAAAGAGGCAGTCATCAAAGCCACCGTGTCCTATAACTTCTCTGTGTCCTTGCCCTGCCCTCTACCCATGGTTCAGAGGCGGATTCATTCGAGGCTGGGTCTGCACTTCGTTACTATAAAGAAAGTTGGTAAATGGTAAGAAGATAGCTGGACTCAACCAGAGAAAACAATAAATGTGATAAACACATCAGATATGCCAGTTTCAGAGAAAGTGAGCTACTAAAGAGCAAAGCAGGGTAGCTTTGACAGGTTTTCTTTTGCCACTTCTAGCAAGTTCCTCTCTATGTGCTGTAGCGGCCGTGGGGAAAAGGAAACAGAGTCTGTGCACAGAAAACCCACTGCCCAGAATTTCTGAACCACGCTGAGATCAGGTTCTTCTGGGCAGAGCACCGGAGAGGTGCTCAGGGCGCTATTGGAGGTGACCGCATTTTCTGGGGTGCCAAGGAATGGAGCACTCTGACAGCCGCCGACAGCTGCCTCTTCCACCTCTCTCCCCAGGGGGCACTGGAGGAGGAGGTGTCCCACATGGGGCTGTGACTGCAGCCCCAGAAATGCACACAGCTTTTCCTTTCATCCACATCTGTCCCCACACGTTCCCCCCCACCCAGGCCCACAGACACCTTCTGCCTCCCTCACTGGGTGTCCCTGGGTCCTGGGAGCTGCGCCACGTGGGAGGGAGGGCGGCAGACAGCAGTGTGCGGCCAGGGTCTGAGCGCTTGGAACGGAGGACTGGAAAGCAGAGCCAACCCCGCTGTCCCTCCCTTGCCAGGGCCTTGTTGACCTGGTACACAGGGCTGCGGATGGATGCCAGGGGCGGAGGTCATGGCCACATCTCGGAGGGAAATCGGGAGAAGTAACCTGCCCAGGACCGCAAAATAACAGGAGAGGATGCGGTCCAAGCCCAGGCCTGGCTGTGCCCCCAGACCATGACCCATTGTGCCCCACAACAGGGGGAGAGGAGCGTCCATGATGCGGGGCCGCCCCAGGGAGGCTGACATCTGAGTCAGTTCTACAGACTTCACCAGCCACAAGCCAGGCTGCCCCCAGGGCACGTGGGTGGCCCCTCAGGCTAGGTGAGCCCCAGGGCATCGACTCGGCCACCCAGAAGGGTAATTCACAGTCATTCCAAGATGAGCCCCCCCCCCGAAAATACAAGCCCTGTGTTCCCACAGTTGTATTTTTTTTAACGTTTTATTTACTTCTAGGAGAGAGAGAGAGAGAGAGAGAGAGAGAGAGACAGCATGAGCAGGGGAGGGTCAGAGAGAGAGGGAGTCACAGACTCTGAAACAGGCTCCAGGCTCTGAGCTGGCAGTCAGCACAGAGCCGACGCGGGGCTCGAACCCACGAACCGCGAGATCATGACCTAAGCGAAAGTCGGACGCTTAACCGACTAAGCCACCCAGGCGCCCCCCCACAGTTGTATTTTTAAAACAGCCTCAGAAAACACTCAGAGATGGACACCAAGATGCACGGACGGGACGTTCACCGCAGTGTTATTTACGATGCTGAAATCTGGGACTCGACCGAAGGGTCCAGAAAAGGTTTAGGAGATGAGGGTGAGCACAGGGTGCTGGGGCCCCAGCCCAGCTGTGGGGCCGACTGCCAGGAAGCACCCTGCAGTGCCGCCCAGGGGAAAAGAACGGTGGTGGGTCAGTGGGTCGCAGCCTGAAGGTGACCACCCAGGTGAGCACAAGGTTACGGGGATCAGGTGATCCTCATTTCTTCTTAGTGCGTCCCATTTTCTCCAGCTTTTCTGAAATGTATGACTTTATAGTCAGATGCTTTAAAAGCCTAATAAATGTCATTTAGTTTCTAAAACTGGAGATACTTCAACTTCAGCATTAGTATCGTCTGCTACACAAAAGAGACAAACATACAAAAGCATTTGTTTTGGATGGTGGATCTACAGTGTGTTTGTAACTCTCCGTAGCTCTTTAATGCCTCAAAATGACAGAGGCAAAAAATGAGGTAACAGCGTTTTCCTTTTGGTTAAAACTACTGGTTCTTAAAAGGCTTATGCAGACGTGAAGACATGAGTGCCGATGAGGCAGTTTCCATGCACGCAGCGCAGACAGTGACACCCACTCAGCATTTCCTGCCACCAGTGTGAGTGCCTGGCGGGCGGGGAGGCCAGGATGGCTGCCGTGAGCACAGGGCTCCGGGAGGCCTGGCCTCATGGGGGGGCCAGGACAGCTGCAGCTGAGGGCGAGACGGAGCCAGCCGGGCAAGCGTTCAGGGAAGGAGACGCGGGGCACGTGCACCTGGGCTGACGGGGGGTGGGGGGGGTGGGTAGACACCGGGTGGGTAAACCTGGGCTCACGGGAGGGTAATTCGTGGAGCAGATGCTGAGAAGTGCTCACCAGGAAGCCTCACAGCAAAAATTACTTTTAATTTGGGTAACTACTGCCAGAGTCCCCTCCAGAGAGGACGGACTAACTTATCTGCCACCAAACAAGTGGGGGCGTGGCGCCATCCCTTTGGTCCGGCTTTTAGGTCGCTCAGGCACGTGACCCTGAAATGACTCCCTCCTAAACTCCTGTAGTTAAGAGCTGGTCTTCAAGGTCAGGAGATGGGGGCCCTGCCCCGAGCAAGCAAAAACAGCTCTATTCAGGGCAGAGGACTGTGTGTCATCCTGCTGGACACCTCTGGGTCCAGAAAGACCAGGAGACCCTCAGGAAGAGAGCCCCACGTTCCAGCCCCAGGGAACACGGGGTCTCCACCAGCAGTGGCTCTGTCTCGACTCCACTGCCACCAAGTGCACGTGGGCCATCGGTTCTCCTGTCTCAACTACCCAAGTTCACAAAACTGCTCTCGGGACCCCAGCCAGGGGTGCCGAGCAGCCGTGTGGCAGAATCCCCGGACGCGCTGCTGTCACACAGACGAACGAGGCCGGGGCTTATTCTCACCGCCCAGACTCTCAGGCGGAACCGAAGCACAAGGGGCGTCAGGAAGGTCGCCTGACACAGGAGGGTCACACCCACGGTTCAGGGCACCGCTGCAGTCAGCCCGGACCTGCATCGACCTGCGCGGGGCCTCTGCTCCCCCTCCCCGGGTCCAGCACCCCTGTAAGCCTTCACGTCCCTTCGGTCACAACTCACAACACCCGCGGGAGCCGGGCGGCGCTGATCCGGGGGCCCCGCTGCACAAGTCACCTCCCGAGAGTGATCCCTGCAGGCAAACGAGGGCGGCTGGTTCCCACGGGGGTGAGAGGGCGCAGGCCGGCGCCCTGGGCCCCAGCCCGAGCGTCCCCGGCCGGCGCGCTCAGGAACGCTGTCTTCGGGTCAGAAAACCAAAAGGGGGAAACGCGCTAAAACCCAGATCCGTATCAGAAGGTAAAATGCTGTTTCACAAGCGCCGCCTGGGGCAGGACGCGCACGGGCCCGGGCCCGGGGGCCCGGCCGCGCAGTCCGCCCTGAAGGGCTTTCTGGGCGTGGCTCGCGCCTCCCGGCGGCCCGGCCACTACCGTCACCACTCCGGGCGCCCACCAGTCGCACCACAGCACCGGCCCCCGCAGACATGCCCCAGGGCCCGGGGTTCCCGCCGCTGACTGCTCGCCCCTTCCCGGCCGGCTCCCCCGCGTCGCCTCTCGGAGCCTGGCCGCTCACAGGCCCGCACTCGTGCGGTCGCCGCCGCCGCGGAGCCGCGTGGACCCGCACCCTGGGCGCCCAAAGCGCTGCACGCGGCAGGCAGACTCGGCGCGGGCACCTCAGGCCCCGCGGAGCCAGGAACGAACTCAATTTTTCGCGGCCGCCCCAGTGCGGCCGGGACGGCTGATCGCGGACCGCGGGCGCGCGACAGCCCCCCGCGTCCGCTCCGCCGCCAGCGCGCGACCCAGGCGTCCCCGCGGCGCGCGGCCGAGGAGGCGGGGCCGGGACGCGGAGCGCAGCGCGGGGTCGCCCGCGGGCCGGGGCGGAGGGCGGGGGGCGGCGGGCTCTACCTCGGCGCGCGCGGCGCTCGCTCCTCCTCCTCCTCCGCTGGCGCTCCTCCCCCTCCTCCTCGGGCCCGGCCGGAACAGGAACCGCGGCTGCGCGCGCCCCTGCGTCCGGCACCGGAGCGCGTCCCCCCCGGCGCGTGCGGCGCCGCGGCGACGGGTTCCGGGTGCGAACGTTCCCCCGGCCGAGAGCGGCAGGTGCCCGCCTGGAGGGTGTTTGCGCTAATCGCGTTTAGCGGACGGGTCGCGCGGTCGCTGGGCTCCCGACTGGACCAGAGCGTCTCAAAACTGTAGCTACTAGCGGGGCTCGGCTGCGCCTCCACCTCCGCGGGTGTTTGAACTCGGGGCAAGAGTGCGTTCGTTTGGCTGAAACGTGTGGTTTTTCCCCCAAAGTGAATACACAAACCCACGCAAGCTGTGCGGTCCGGCAGTGTGGGTGCGCAGCTCGTTCTGAACCCGCACGGCCCGCACTTCGGCCGGTCCTCCTGGGAGGACGACGCTGGGTCGGGCGCCCCTGAACCTGAGGGCGCGGGGAACACGGGGGTCACAAGAGGCACACGAGGGACATGGGGGCTCGGGGACACGGATGTCGCTGAACCTTGGGGTGCAGGGGGGCACAGGGATACACGAGTGGTGCTGGACACGGGGGTGCGGACCTGAGGGCACGTGGAGGACACGGGCCCAAAACTTCCCGGCTGAGGTGCAGAAGAGAGGATCCCGTTCTCCGTCAGGAACATTCTGGACACTCAAGGGAGCTCCTGGAGAAGGAGAATGCCATGGTCCAAGGAAAGAAGGGCTGGGGATTTCCCCGGAGACAGAAGAAAAAGACTAAGAGATGGAAAACCATGGAGGAAGGAGAAGGAAATGGGCCCATCCATAAGATCCTATGTGAAAAACAGAGGAGTTTGGGGAGGAAGAGCAGAAAAGGCAGAGGAGAGGAAATCAACAAAATTCAAGAAAATAAGCAGAGAGGGGCACCCTTCTGGGTGGAGGGCCGCAGAGTGCCTGGTATAGTGAGTGCATGTGGCTGGCAGACGTGGGTCCCTGGGAACGCGGGGCAGAGATCGCAGATCCCAGCTGCCTGATGTCTCACTCGTGTGTTCTAGAGAGTCAAACACCTGACGTGGCCCCACCTGAACTGGGTCTTCCCTGTTAATGGGCTGTTTGTGTCCCCCCTAAAATGCATGTGTTGAACCTGACCCCCAATGTGATGGGATCAGGAGGTGACCCTTGGGAGGTGCTTAGGCCATGAGGGGCTTCCTGCCTTCACAACACAGGCCCCAGGGAGCTCCCTCACCCTTTGCCACGGGAAGGACTCAGCCAGATGGTGGTCTGCGAACCAGGAAGCGGGACCTCACCAGACACTGAGTCAGCCAGGACCTCGGTCTCCAGCTTCCAGCCTCCAGGGCTGTGGTTTATCGGCCCCCATCTGTGGGGCCCCGTGACAGCTGCGGGAGGGCTGTCCTAACGCTTGCCCGGCAGCCTTCCCAGCTCACCACTGTTCCTGGAGCTCCGTCACGGAGACGACTCCTTCCTTTCCACCTCCCATCCCATCCTGCTCAGTCCTCCTTCAGAATCCCTCAGGAGCCAGCCGCTTGCCACCAGCCGCGGTGCAGCCACCCCGGGGGCCTTGGGAAGCCCTCATCTCACACCCAGATTACTGAACTAGCCTCCTGGTCTCCCTGCTTGTCCCGCCCCACCCCCCACCAGCTGCCCGTTCCCAGCGCAGCAGTCAAGTGGCCCAGTGGAAAACAGTCACATCCCAGTTGCCCCCCTGGTCCCGGGTCCCACTGCTGCGGAGACCTGCACCCGACAGGTGGGAGTGGCCATTCCCTGTCCCGCCCCCAGACCTGCACCCGACAGGTGGGAGGGGTTATTCCCTGCCCCGCCCCCAGACCTGCGCCCGACAGGTGGGAGGGGTTATTCCCTGCCCCGCCCCCAGACCTGCGCCCGACAGGTGGGAGGGGTTATTCCCTGCCCCCGCCAGGGAAGATGAAACTGATGGAATTTCTTTTAAAAAAATAGTTTAACATTTACTTATTTTTGAGAGACACAGAGAGACAGGGAACGAGCAGGGGAGGGGCAGAGAGAGAGGGAGATACAGAATCTGAAGCAGGCTCCAGGCTCTGAGCTACAGAGCCCAACCTGGGGCTCGAACTCATGAACTGTGAGATCATGATCTGAGCCGAAGTCAGACGCTTAACCGACTGAGCCAC